ATTCGAAAAATGATTAAAAAAAGGTTTATTTAATTGTTCAGCTCAAAGACGAAAAAATGCTTCATGTATTATATTTGATACAGGAGGCATTCGTGTGCCTCATGAGTTGTAGATGCGGCGAACGCATTTTTTCTCCTTTGTTCGATCAGAGCGCAACAGCAGATTTCTCGCAGTCTTCAAACAAATTAGGAATGCACAGCCTGGACGTTATGAGCCTTGCCTGGGAGTTGGGCTTTACCCGAAAAGGTCGCCGAAATCAGCAAAGCCGTGCATCTGAGCGCTGGGAAGCCAAATGGCTCCATCTGGAGTAGTATTCTTGAGACAGGTGGCACAAAACACGCATCGAATGTGACACAGCATTCATTTGCGTTACCTTTCTGCTCCTATTTCTAGAAAGGTGCTTTTACGGTAGTTTATCATATCAGACCCACCATGCATTGTAGAGTTAAAAACACCAGGCTGGCAGGGGTACTGCCATAGCTAAATTTTTCTTCTACAGCTGAGGCACCAGACGCCCATTGGGGTGGGCTAACTTCCGGCTCTCTAAACATAAACACAGAAAAATTATTTACCAAAGGTGAGAGAAATTGTAGGCAAGAATAAATTGACTTCCACCTAAAATGAAGCGCAACTTCACCTCAAGGACTGACCTCCACCCAATGCAATCAGTGGCTCCTGTTGTGTTAAGTCCAGTGTTCTAGGCGTTACCAAAAAAAAAAGTAACGTAATAATTTACTCGTTACTTGCAAATAAAAGGAACGCGTTACCGTTACCGACAAAATATATGGCACTTTACTTTTTTTTAATCGAGACGTTTTACTGTTTTGACGTTACAAATATGCATAAGCGCCATATTGCAACAATATTTATGTCCATGCAGCAACTGAACATAATTACCTGATCTTTCTTAATATTTCACTTAAATGCTCAAAAGAAAAAAACTCAAAGAAAAACGCCAAAAAAAAGCTCAAAAATTCACATGGCTTGGGGCCTAGAAACACAGGAAAAAAATGAAACGTAATTGTTCTGAGTACTGAGAAAAATAAATAACGATAACGTAACTACGTTACCCGTTACTCGAAATAAGCAGCGTAACTACGTTACAAGTTACCGTTTTGAAAATGTAACGAATACGTTACACGTTGCCAAAACGGTATGGCAATACCGGCGACACGCTGCCACCAACACTGGTTAGTATGCCTGCGAAGATTGCGTGCTTTCCTGAGACGGTCGCCACTGTACGTAGTGCACGCTGTTTCGCCTAATTGGGAAATTTAATTTGTCAGGAAGCTATTCACCCTAGAGCGGTGCTGACTGCAAACGCTAGTGTCAAGCAGCGCTTGTCTCGCTCGCATACACAAAAAGATACACATCCGCTCACACGCACGCACTCACACAGATGCATACGCACACACACGAGCACAGCGCGTTCAGGAGAAAGGTGGTAAGGTGTCGACTTGACGGTGAAATAAAGTAGTCCAACACTAAAAGCGAAGGTGCGGCGTGCCGGCCGTGCCTTTCCCACGCCTCTTACCGCGACTGTTTTAAAGTGTGCACGTCGCGCAACTGCCTGCCTCCGTCCCGCTAACATCGGGACTCGGACCCAGAGAGCGTTTTCCTGTTCGGCCCTTCTTCGCTGAGTGGGGATTCCCTTCCCGGCCAATGCCGTGCCGCCCGCAGCCCCCCCCCCCCCCCCCCCCCCCCCCCCCCCCGTGCCTGACTGACGGACCCGTCAAAGTGGGGCCTACAACGCCTCCTCCCGCGAACTGCATGCAACTGCGTGTACCGCTTGTCACCCTTCCAGTTTTTTTTTTTTCTTTGTCTTTTTTTCCTGAGCGCGATATTTCAGAAGTTAGAACTGTCCATGCTCTCGCGCTCGATGGAGCCCTTTCTCGCTGCACTTTTTAGTGGAGTGCAGACGGTGTAAACTAGAAAAGGCAAAGAAAAAGTGGGATAGCCGTGTGAAGGTGCTTCTGTGTTTATCAACATTTTATATTCGCGTGCAAAAAAGAGATTCATCTTTGCATGTCGCACATGCTCTATCTGATTGTTGTGACGGCGAACATGAGCGCGTCAATGTCTACCAAGAATGCGAATATTTTTTTTTTCGAATCGAATAGCACAGCGCCATAGCGTCTGTGTGTATTGACGTTTCCTTCCACTATCAAGTATATAAACTCCGCGGCGCAATTCTATACCAATCATGATTCGCACGTACCTACCAGTTGTGAGAGACGAACAATGTTTTTGAGGCAACCTTGACCAGTCTCCATGATTAAGGTTGAACAATCAAAGGAGCACATCCGGCCGCGCGTCGCTGCCATTAATTAATATTGATCGTGTACGCGCGTGTTTCCAAGTGCGGGCGGGAGTTCTCTGTAGCACCAATAGAGTTAATACAGCAACGTAAAACGCTAAAAATATATTCTTGTATATTTTGCTTTTTTCCGAGCACATGTCATGAAACTTTCATATTGAATATGTAATGAAAACTCCCTCAAGTAGGTGGTGTGGTTTCTATGTGCCGCGTTTCTTACATTATAATACTAAACTTAAACGGTGTTATGTCCCGTTTAATTCCCACCTAAACTATTACCATCTGGTCCCGACAACGACTACGAAAACAAACGTAAATACCATTCTACTTCTTCAAAAGAAAACGTTGCATTATTTTGGAAATGTTCCGTATGAATTTCACTCAGAACCCTTATTTTCTAGTTACAGCCATGTCACGTTAATATGAACCCCATTAATATGAACACCCCTCTATATAGACACCATTTTGGGGGGACAAACTGGGAAGATACATCCAGGGAATATTTTCCTCATTCTGGTCCAGCTCGCTCGCGCCTTTGCGTTAATTGCCTTATCATCGCGTATTTTTGTCTCGTTATTATGTACAACTCACATTATGGACGGTTTCTTGCGGGAACAGAGGCGTCCATGTTAACCAGACAACGTAATTCGCATCGAAAACATGCATAAACATAATCTACTTCATTTCATTCGTCTGACGTCTGCAGTATATATAAATGTATTATAAACGACCTCAGCGGTTGTTAGGTGCGGTACCTCGCGTAACAAAGGAGCTTAAAAACTTGTCCGTATTTTTTTACTTTCTTCCGTTCGTTAGTTAGGTCTCAGCTAGGGTACGCTCTAGTTGTTTCGAACGGCATTTCTAAAACTAAACCCTGGAGTGTCAAACGAGTCCAAAACAATTGTTTTTACATCTTGAAACATCGTTATCTAAAGAAAGGTTTACACTGAATACAGTACTTCCCTGTGTACAATCGGAAGAATACACAACTGTACAAATTGAACATAAATTGAGCACAAAGAGGGATGAATTAATCGCTCAAACTATATTTTATCAAAATTAGAGACAGAACATACGTTTGAAAATTAAAAATTATATTTCAGTGTCTAAAATACGCGGCCCTAATTTGTTTCTAATTCATGCAAAGAAAAACAGCTCTTAATAATTTCTAATATTTTCAGAAACCAATTAAAAGGTTCAGATATCTAAAAACTTAAGTGTTGTGACCCGTAATTTGTGCGAATTCTATTTTGAAAATATTTTTTATGTAAGAATATTTTTCTGAGACAGCCAGACAGGTCTGTTCGTAGTACAAAAATCTCTTTGAACTCCAGAGTCCCGCAGGGTTCCAGAGTCCTTCTAAGACAATGCTCGTTTGTTTTCGTATTCCCTAAAAAGGATTCGAAGTGTTTCCGCAGTTATTCCTGAACAACTCTAAATGCGACTCATGTAGCTGCATTCCTGTTCAGTTTGTTCCTTCGTTTAAGTACCTTTAGATCTATTTTTATTTTTTTTTTATTTTGATTTATCCCGGAATTTACACTTGTCTTTTATTTTAAAGCGTTCGAGAAGTGTGTCGTGCCAGCTCTTTAAACTCGAAGTGTTTGTTCCATTTCCCACCAGGAAAATGAGGAAGCATTCTTTGGCTTACAGTGCGCTAAGATATGGCGTTACACTTAGTTTCAATTGCTCCATTTAAAGCATGCAAAATCGACAATATTGTCAAGGGAATGCTAGAGTTTTTCTTACAACATACCGCAGTGTTCTAAAGAAAACTTGTTTACTGAACTTCAGATGCCTTGTTTTTATCCTTTTTTTTTACACACCGCACTCTCAAACAAGACCGTGCGTTTACTTTTACGCACAACACTCGCACAGCCAATCACCGCAACTTACGGAGGCAGCTCAGCGAATGACGATGCCGAAACATATGTTTAGAACAAAGAACGCAATCTGAGTTGTGATATTATGCAGTGAAAAACGTCACGCGTCCATTGCTTAATGTCACAACACAGACTGCGTTCTTTTCTTGGTCTAAACATATGTTTCGGAATCGTCATTCGCTGAGCTACCTGCGTAAGTTGCGGTGATTGGCTGTGCGAGTGTTGAGCGGGGAAAGTAGACGCACTGTTCTTTTTAGCGTCACTTTCGGCATAGTGATTTCAAAACAGAGATAATTGCCTGTCGTAATCGAGGTGCAAAATGCGTCATGAAATTTTACGAATACTCTATACACTCGCTATGGGGAAAATGTGAGGACGTTTTATGTTCCAAGGATTTTTAACGCCTTGCCATATTACACTCTTCTATCAAAGTCTTTGTTTCACCCGAAGCAAAGCTTGAACAGATTGTATATTGATCGGAACAAACATTTCAAAATTTAACTGCAATTTGTTGACTTGATGCTGTAATGTTACTAATGTGAAGAATGTGCTTCCACTGCCAGGTCACGCCACAGAAGCATTGCATTGGCTTAGGCAGGCCTGCTCTCTTGTATTGCCTTATTTGCTGAATAAAAATTAAAATAATAATAATTATTATAATTATGAACCAATGTGCAGTTTGCACTATAACTCATGTTTCGTAGTCCCTTTACGAGAAATCTCAAAGTAGCCAATACTTACATTGTTCTCTTTGGTACCTTTCTGTCATTACAAACTTATTTTCTCTTTGCTTGTTACAGGCCACCCTCACTTCTTCAACCAACTCTCGAGCGGACTTGACATCGTGTCTCTGGCCGGCGAATGGCTGAGCGCGGCAGCCAACACGAATATGTAAGTCATCCGTGTATGCCTCCCCAAACATACATGCATCGACTTGAACGAGAGGACACGTTTGTACACTGAAACAAGAAAGCTTATACCAGCAGTACCAAAGCAACAGCGCCTGGGACGGGTAGCAGACTAATGTGTTTACATGTCGATCTTTCTTCCTTGTGAAGTTTCAACAGCATAACGCTGCCGATCGCCCCGATCCTGGCGGTGACAAAGAAGCGAACATGAAGACGGCAGGCTGCTGTTCTTCCGTAGCTTGTTTGGCAACCGATTAATCGCCGAAAACGATGGCAGCCAGGGGTTAGGACGCCGTGGCGACAGCGACCCTTAGGTCCGCTCTCTTGCTTTGCGCTGCCCACTTGTACAACAACCTCCAGGGTCGTGACAAGGAGTATAGAGGTTCTTGAGAAGAGCATTGTTGCTCTTTTGAAGAAAGCTACAACGCCCGGGAGGTATACGACGTTAAACGCATCAATCAGACACCCGTTCCAAGCATGACTCGAGAGCTGCATGACTGAATGTGACACACTCTTAGAAATAGGGGGTGTAGCAAGGTACACCCCTTGTCCCATGTGTAACACCCCAAAACTAAATCTGGACGTTCAGTCCACTGACGTCGAGCTGGCGATGCCAACTTTTACAAGTGGCTTGACAGCTGTAGGATATAACGTACTAAATAGCTAATGGGTGTACCAAAGACTAGAAAAAAAAATTGCAGCATGGCCAAAAACAAAACAAGAAACTTGATTGTCTTACCGCAGTCTTTAATACTTTCATTAGCTATTTTAACAAGTTGTATCGGTCGACTATCAAGCCGTTCTTGAAAGTCTTGATGGTCGGTATCGTCGGTTCGACGTCTGTGGACTGAACATCGAACTGTTGTTTTGGGGTGTTACACATGGGAGAAGGGGTGTATCCCTATACACCTTTAATTGATTGAGTGCACAGTGCCCGTAAACATGGTAAATGTGTCCTCTTTCTTTCAGGTTCACCTACGAAATCGCCCCGGTATTTATCCTTATGGAAAACGTCGTGATGAAGAAAATGCGTGACCTCATAGGTTACACTAACGGAGACAGCATTCTTGCGCCAGGTGAGACTTTAAAAAAGATTCAGTTTCTGTTCTTAAACGCAAAATGTGTTTCAAGGTTCTTTTCCTACGAGAAAACCGTCGTGAACGAGCGTCATGAACAAGCGTTACCCACGCAGAATAAAAATGTATGTCACCTGACCTAACGTCACGAGATCTATTAACCAATTCAGTTTTCCCGCTAAATTTGGCGGGAATATTGATGTCACGTGACCTCTACACCGCCAGTTTTCCGCGAAATTTAGTAGGAAAATTCACGTCACATGACCTTCAGCTTTCCAGCTAAATTTGACGGCGAAATTGACGTCATTTGACCTGGCGTCACGTAATCTAAACGCCAATTTAAATCCTCCCTCTAAATTTAGCAACAAAATGAACAAGCGATCTGTATACAAATTGTTTCCCCGCTGAATTCGTCAGTTTCTCCCGCTAAATCTGCCAAACAAAGACAACAACACAAAATAGTATGTGTGGTTTGTGCGGACAACATTCTGTGTTCCTTGAGCTCTGTCCAATGGCCCACTTATGTAAACTTTTCTTTTTAGATATCACACACGAAAGACCCCTTTCCCCAATCGCGTGTTGTTATTAATTTAAACCCCGAGGCACAGATAAATAAAATAATGGACAAGACGTCTAGAGTTAGACGCCGTCTAGAGTCAGATAGTTGTGATCTACCGCTGTCTAATGCACTCCTCCGTAATACGTTCGTAGGCTCAAAAAGAGCAGTGGCTGAAAAAATGGTACTTACACATTTCATAGATTCAGTTTTATACTACGAAACATATCGCTCACCGATTGTAATAACTAATAGATTTGCAACTTTGGGCGATTAATATTAGAACATAAGCATTTAGAGCAACGTGTTACGAGGGGCGCGTTACTTTTTGCTGTTGACTTATTCAGATAGCTTTTTGCGAACATGAACGAATAATGCATTCGGTTACATTTTGACCGAGTAAAAAATGTTACTGTAGTTTGATAGTTTTTTTTTCCTTCCTAGGAATCAGTAAAACACTAGCCTTTTCTTTTTTCCAAGTTGTCCTGCGGTTAAGTTGAAATAAAAAAAAAACAGGTTTTTGCCACGATTGCTTTCAACACGTCGAGCTCCCCTGAGAGTTCTTGCTCCACTCGCAAGTCTCTCAGAGAACCAGAAAGACTTGTTTTGAGTTTTGTACCATATATGCTTTTTCTTTCTTATTTAACGTGGCCTGCAAGTCACTTGAGCGCGAAGAGTCACGCAAATGGTCACGCGTGACTTTTGGGATAAAGTAATATTTTAGCTTTTTTTTTTTAGACTAGGTAACGTGCAACGCGTACTTAGTGTTATTTGAGCAGTAAGTATGCAAGGAGGTGGGAAAGTTTGAGTGGCACAAAGAGGCCATATTTTGAAGGCATGTGGGATGAGCGCAAGAATTAACATGACTTATCTACATATTCGCAATCTAATATGTGATGTCGCTCGAAAGGTTTACTTCCTCTGAGGTTATATAATGATTCTGGCTAATAGTAATAGGTTAAAAAAATGCAAAAGGGTACACACGCACGCGGATATATATACGGTGGCTGAAATGTCGAGGGTAACTTTAAACTGGGTCGTAAAAATCGGCGCCTGCGCGTAGAATCTAAAATTTTCGTGAAAGGTGTTTTCCACAGGTGGGGTTTACCTTGTAACATTACAAAACGTACCTCCTTTTCTGCAAAAAAAAAAAAATTATCTAGCCAAAAAAAATGTTCTAGGGTCAACGACGGACGGCGATGCAGTCGGGGGAAGGGGGGGGGGGGGGGGGGGGGAGGTGCGCGTTCGCCGCACGTATTGTAGATGGCACTACGTCGGGAGCAGCGTTGGAAGGTGTAGCCGACTAGCGAAAGGAAGCAGATGATACGCAGATGAAATTTGTCATACCAAAGGTACATTACAAAAAGATTATGTTTATTTTAATAGACCACGGTGGACCGTTGTCGTGGGCAGTCTCGATATGTTTTTAAAAAGCAAGCCGGAACAAGAAGGCTGTGTCATCTATAAGTACATGCGCCAAACGCGCCCCGTAACTCGACTCGGTCGTCTGCGTCGCCGTGCGCCGTTGTACCTGGCAAGTTTTTTGACCCTACCTTTTTTACAAAAAGGAAGCTATGCCTTGTTATTTGATAACCTAAAACCCACCTTTGAAATACACTTTTGACGCATACTTTGGATTGCTACATACACGGTTGCACGTCAAAAGATCCCCAGGTGGTCCAAATTAATCCTCAGTCCTCCGCTGGGGCATGCCAGATGCCCGTCGTAAGTTTGGCACGTAAAACCCCCAAATTTGACTTTTGACTTTTGGATTGCTACATATATGCGTCGAACTTTACGGCCCCGTTTTGATTGAGCCTCGGCGTTACAGACATCCATACATAAAGTAGGTCTAGTGTACGTATCGATTAAGAGTTGTTTGGAGAGGAACTGACTGAGCGAGATAAACCTAGACATTGTTGCAAAACAGTTGAACGTACGTGTTCCTTGGCGTGGTAACCTCCAACCTGTTCGTCGGTTCGGTTCCCGCCTTTAATGCAATTTTCTTTGTTGGCCTCGAAGTAATCCTTCAAGAACTAAAAGTTCAAAAACTAAAAGTTAACACTAAAAGAAAGAAAGAAAAAAATCTCGGAATAAGTATCAAAGCGACTGATGGCGGAAGCGTTGGATTTCAGGCTCTTTTCCAGACGTTCCATGGGGGGTGTTGTGTTTTGACACCCCGATTTATGAAAGCCTATCTCACTTTGGAAAGTCTACGTAAAGTGTTTTCCCTAGTGCCCACAAATCTGTTGTTTTTAAAATTTAACGGCAAAAACAACTTTCCTTTTTGTTTGCGTCGAATGCTTTGCAATATATTGCATGTCAGCTTTAGTATAATAAGCCGAACTTAAAACTAAATAAATCTAAAAACTAAAAACGCCAGTTCAAGCCGTCGCCCCCTAGCTGTTTTCCTTTCCCACTATTTCTTGTTTATGATTTTTTTAATCGCACAGGATATTATGTATACAACAAGTTCTGTTCCCAACGTTACGCCCAAGTGGAAGCGTACATAAGCTGTTGAACGAGACAACTGTCGTCGTAATACATTACGTACGTTTACATTATGTTTTACATGAAGATGTTAAGAAACAATCTAAAACGCTGCACACGCGAAAACATTGTTTCTACGTAGACTGGACCGTGACTCAAGCGGAGCACCTGCACCAATCATGGGTATTCTTTCGATCGGTTCAGCCAATGAGAAGGGCGATTGGTATCAAGGGCCAACCGTCTAACTCATTTAAAAAAGCCCGATGGTTGATATTTCGAATCCTGTGCGGTGCAGCTTACGTAAAGGACCCACCGAGAAAGTGCGTGGCAAGAAGACAACTGCACTGGAAGGAGGCTTTACCGACAAAAAAGTAACGAAATACGTTACTTGCAAATAAAAGGAAGGCATTACAAACCTACGTCGATTCAGAATAAAAGGATCGCGTCAACCATTACCGCTACGGATAAAACGTAAATCACGTTACTTTTGCTTTACTTGATATTGTTTAATTAAAACGCTTTAGCGTTTAGACAAGGAAACAAGGAGCGCGTTGGTAACAGTATCTGCCATGAGGAAGGCAACAAAGAGGAGGGGACGGAAAACAATGACTTTGTTGTCGTTGTCCGTCCCCTTCTCTGTGTTACCCTCGTCGTAGTGGAAACTGTTTAGACCTTTCAAAATTTCGTTCGTTGACATCATCCCAGTTATAATAAAATGCCCCGAACACGAGACTCCCCCTGTTTCTTAGGCGGGCAGCGGCAATGGCAATTTCTCTGACGCTCCAGGGTCATCAGGCAGCCACCGCGGAACACCTTCGTAAAAGAACCTTACTGGGAGCCTCTCCAACTTCACTCGCAGAGCCTTGGCCGCGTCTGCGCGTTCCCACGGCCGCGTTTCAAAATCTCGCTCCGAAGTAAAGGTTTGGTACCTTGAAATTTGAAAATGCTACCAGCGTCCAGCATTGCTCTGTATGTGTTTTCACGTGCTTAGACCTGCAGGTGTTGCCCCGAAGCGCAAGTTCAATCGCGTGTCCTGAAGTTGTTCGTAAAAGCGACGACAACGTCAACGCAGTGCAATGTTTTTCGCTTATCTGTGCGTGAATACGGATCTGCGAAGAGTTCGTGTGCTGGACGGCCCAAAAATCACTACGGGACGACGTTCATCAGTGCCAGTAATCGATCACACATATACGTGAGAAGTATTTTTCGCTTCTCCTATTATCATATTGCTCTTCGCTCGACAACGGATCGAGTAGACGCCTATTGGGATTGAAATGATCGCGGCGGTTTCCGCCGGGGCCTAAAGGGGATTTGTGTTCTAAAATTCCAAATCTAGTGTAAAAAAAAAAAAAAAAAAAGTTAGTGTCGAATGTAGATTGGAACGTTTTGTATGGCGCTGAGCTCAGGTAAGCTGATATTTATCAGAAACAAAGGTTGGCTGCTACACAGGATATGTCTATGCTGCAGTCCGGCGGCGTGTTCAATGCGAAATGCTTCTGCTGGGAGCCGCGCCGTGGAGATAGCTCAGGAAAAGCGGGGTGTATACGGTCCCCGGCATCTCAGTATCGCGTGTAATAAAATTGCCGCATTAGCAAATAGGAGCTACGAATAACGATTAAGGAAGCAATGAGGCCGTAGATTTTCCGGTGTTTTTATGCATAAGTAAAATCGCTCAATACTTTTTCGCTGTTTATCAAGTTTTTCAAATATAGGTGTATTGCGCTAATACGCTCACACCTCTTGTATCGATCGAAAAAAAAAAAATCATCCCAAAAATTAAAAGTTTAAATCAAACAACTTTGACAAAAAAAAAAAAAAAAACTGCTTTGGCGGGTACGAATTAAAAAAAAAAAAAAAATCGGTGTCTCGGTTTTAATCGATTTTATATTTTTTACACTAAAGGTAGTTACCGATTTGTTTTGCTGTTAAAACCTGTTTCGTATTTTTTAACACCGAGGAATGTTTATCGATGTTTTTCGGTTAAAACCGGAAAGTTTACGGCCTATTTATAAACCACCCCCTGCGTTTCTTGAACTATCAGTGATTGTAATGTTATGATTCCGCTACCACTAATAAACCTTTCTTCACTAAAATTTAAAAAAGAAATGCTATCTTTTTTTAACGCGGTAGCTTTATAGGCCCAACCGCGCTGAAGGGCATGCTCGTGCTTAAGGTCATGCCAACATGGCCATGCCCTCTAATATTTGCAACGCCCGTGGCTGAAGCTCAAGGTCGCTTAATCAAGGTCACGTAAGCCCTGGTTGAGTATTCTTCGTTATTGTAAGCGCCGGTCGCGTAGGCTCGTAAGCGGTAGCTTCATAGGCCCGACCACGCTCAAGGCAAGGTCCTCGTCCCCAAGGTCATGTCCTCATAGTCATGTCGTCAAGGGCATGTCCTATAATAGTTGTAACGCCCGTGGCTGAAGCTTAGAATCGCGTAATCAAGGTCCCGTAAGCACCGGCTGCGTAAGATCCGTTCGCGTGAGCTCGTAAGCCTCGGTAGCTGAGGCTGACGTAACGTGATATCCTTGACATCGTCCTAGAGGTCGTCCTTGACGTCATTCTAGAGGTCGTTCTAGAAATCATCCTAGAGTTCGTCCTTGAGGTCGACCTTGACGTCATTCTAGAGGTCGTTCTAGAGATCATCCTAGAGGTCGTCCTTGAGGTCGACCTTGACGCCGTCCTCGACGTCGTCTTAGACAGCGTCCTTGGGGTCTTTCTAAAGGTCGTCATTCTCGACGTCGTTCTAATCACCATCCTTGACGTCGTCGTTAAGGCCTTCGTAAAGGTCGTTATAGCGGTGGTTGTTGACGTCGTTCCAGACGCCGTCCTGAAGGTCGCCCTACACGTCGTCCTTGAGGTCCTCCAAGAGGCCATCCTTGACGTCGTCTTCGATGTTTGCACGACACATTACACTCTAAAAAAAAGCTCGTGCGTCTACTTTCCCGCACAACACTCGGAAAGCCAATCACCGCAACTTACGGAGGCAGCTCAGCAAATGACGACGCCGAAGCATATATTTAGACCAAAAAACGCAGTCTGAGTTGTGATATTTAGTAATGCGAAAAGTCACGCCTGCGTTGCTAGATGTCACAACTCAGACTGTGTTTTTTAGTCTAAACATGTGTTTCGGCACCGTCATTTGCTGAGCTGTCTTCGTAAGTTGCGGTGATTGGTTCTCCGAGTGTTGTGCGGAAAAGTAGACGCACGAGCATTTTTAGAGTGTAGAACCATTTCATCACCATACCATTGCATTTCCTAATTGCTTTCACTAACGACGTTCCTGTAATGCTCCCGCATTTCATCGCGTTTGGACGAATAAACGTGCCGGTATTTTTTAAGGGGCGGGGACGTTGTCGGATTATGTTAACGCTTCTTGCTTTTCGGGCGCTTTTACAGGCTAGTGCTAGCCTCTGATTGGCTGCGGAGCCCTAATAAGATGGTTAGTACTCGTCCCGCATTTCTTACGCTGCCAGTGACACCTTAAGAAATGCCGTCTGTTAGGGATCAAACATAGCAAGCCGAGTCCCTTGCACGAGGCCGTCTGCTCGCCATGATTGCTGGTTCCCTCATTTCCACTTCTTTTTGGCGCTCACTTCGCTTAAGTGCAGGGTTTTCTAGGAGGAGCTTCTTAACCTGCCACAGTCTAATCTGAATGAATGAATTCGTGGTTCCTTCGAGTTCAATGAACGATGTTCCGGCTGTCCGCGCAGGGGGCTCGGTGTCCAACCTGTACGCCGTCATGGCGGCCCGACACAAGAAGTTCCCCGACTACAAGACCATGGGTCTCAAGGCACTGCCCCAACTCGTCATGTACACCTCCGAAGACGTGAGTAGCCTTTGCCCCTCCGAGGTCTTCGTGAGCACCGTATGCCAGGTCCCCGTTGGTCGGTTCCTTCAGCTAGCCCGTGCTACGGGTGTGAGGAGTTTTTTAAACAAGACGTGTACTCTATATGGTCCGGTTCACGCGCTTGTGCCCGAGCACCGCCGACGCTACCAGCCGATTGAGCCAATCAAGCAGAGCCAAAAGCGCGTCCTCGCCCACGGCCCGCTCGTCGCCTTTCTGCGTTTGCTATCATCGGTTAAACAAAACACACGCAGAAAAAAAAAGCGCAGTATCACGGCGCACTTGCTGTGCTTGATTGGTTGAGCTGGGTACGGTAAACGCACGAAAACAGCGAGCACCGTGACTATTAAAGGCCTAACCATCTATCTGCAGGTGAAAAAAAAAAAAAAAAGAGCGCCGATTTTTGTTGATTTGTACCCTATTGTTGTAAATGCCCGTTGCATTTACAACAATAAGGTGTTGTAAATGCCCGTTGCATTTACAACACCGCATTTCGCACATCGTCGAAATAATGATCATCTCTCTCGGACGTTTTAACATATATATATATATATTTGTATATGCCGAGTAAGCAGCGCAGAGCGGTAAATGTCCTCCTTGCGCACGGATACCTGCTGTAGACCAGCTCGACTTTCTGACGTTAGGCAATTGCGGTGGACACTGCGCCTCTGCTTGAGCTTCGTCTCGCCCAAATCTGGAGTGGGCGAAAGCGGGCTTGTTTGTAAGCAGTGCTTTGGTATTTAGTATAATCGAGGGATGCCTGTTTTCAAGCAGGAGTGGAAGGCGAAGGCACTGTCATTTTGAAGGCATCTGCACAAAGCGCCTCAGCGAAGCATAGGTACTAGAACTCTCCCCGTTTTTATGCGCTGTGCTCAGGGTGGGGAAAAAATGTTGATTTTTTTTATCAAGTAAATTAGATTTCTTTGACTTAAATCAGATTACACTGATCTAAATCAGATCTATTTTATTTAAATCACCGTAGCCGTAAAATAGTAGGTTTTAAGTACGAAGTGAATTAGTAAACATGACAGATTGATTCATCAATCAGTCAGATCACTGAAAATAATCCGAAATGAAGAATTACTATAAATGTAAAGTACAGTTTGATTAACAATTTTAATTGAGTGAACCCCGCCATAGGAGAAGAAAAAAAAAACAGCTTGATATCTTTAGGCTACTGAAAAACCTTTATTTGCGTTCGCTTTTGTGTTCTGAGTTTCATGCAATAGGACTTTACTTTTTGTTAGTTTCTCTCTTTCGCGTTCTTATTTGCTTGTATAGCAGGTTAAATAAGTGACCAACGAAGTGAATGGTTGAAAAAAAAATCAACCTTCCGATTTTCTCAGAGAACCGCTGTTTTGGGCTCGTGTTCAACCCAATATAAATCTTGCTGGCATGATGATTCCTTGATTTACATACAAACAAAGGCATAAAAGGCACCAAATGATAGATAAACGGCAAAAACAAAATTAATTTTGCCGTTATTTTTGATGAAAAGGTTCGATTTACATCATCATAATAAAAGCAGTCTGATTTATTCACGTTTTAAATGACAGTTTAAATCACGACATAACTCCTATTTTAAATCACGATTTAAATCATTTGATTGATTTTTATTCCCCACCCTGGTTGTACCGGAGCTATCGTGCCTGGAACGCGCCTCTGACTGGTGTGCATACCGTCTCCTAAAAGTTGTTCCGCGACCTTTGCCTGATGACGTCATACAAGTGTCACGCTGTCGCCGGCAGCGATCCTAGCGGTGTCCCAGCAGTTGTCGTGAATGTGCAGACGCCTGCTCCGCTGCACGTCGCTCCTCAGCTTCGTAGTCTACGGAATCTTCGCCAGCCAGGAGTTAGGACGCTGCGACGAAAGCGACGCTCGCGGTTTCTCGTACTTTTTTTTTGTATCTCCAGAACTTGAACGCCCAACCGCCAGGATCGCGACATCCGAAAGCATGACACTCCTTTGTGACATCATTTGTTGCCACTTCAGGACCACGTTCGATGCTTGGGCGAAACAGGACGCTGAACACACCCGTCGAAAATGTGTTCCTAGCACTTTGATGGAAGTACTAAGGGAATATGGCGACAAGCAGTGTTGCTTAAAGGGATAATGAACCGAAATTTAGATTTCGGAAAATAAGGCCGCAGAAGCGTTGAACGGGACGCTACGATCTCTAAAACATCATTCATACATCGGTATCTCAAACGGATGGCCGTACTGTGGGATAGGAAAGGGCGACCAAGCGGGGGCTATGACGTCATTGTCCTCCTGTAGAATTTGAGAATGAGGGAAAGCGGTTCGCTTCTCTCCTCCTCGCTTCGGTTCACCAGCTCGACGAGACGTAGCGAGGAGGAGAGGGAATGAGAATCGTGACGTGTCTTGTCTCGTCGGCCTGGTCGGCCGTGTTCGACAGCGCACTTCTTTTTCAAAAAACACGGCCATCCATTAGATATATCGCTGTTATAGTGATGTCTTTGGGTATGGCACCGTCCCGCCTATCCGTCCAGCCTTGTTTTGAGAGCTCGAAATTTCGGTTCAGTATCCTATTAACGGTGTTTCCGAACTGCGTCAATTAATTAGCTTCTTTTCGGTGGCGTGTTTTAAACTCATTATCGAATCGGATTAACACCGGCGTATGTATTGATTAACTCGTTTTCGGAGCCGTGTTCCAAACACAGTAGACCGGTATAAATTCGGACAATGTCTTTCCATCTGGGGCAAGCCATGTGACGGCCGGTAACCATACCGGGCGGACTTGTCTCCCCGGCTAGACGGGGCGTTTGTAATAAGACAACGGGACTCGTTAGAAGCAGGGCCGTCGGGGTGCGTGGCGCCGGCACTGGGGGCACTCCGCGGCGACAGCTCGTACACTCCGTTCAACCCCGAGCTGACAGTGCGCTGGGAGCGACGCACTCCACGGACCAAACAATCACCCCACACGTGTCACATCAAGCCGCTCTCTGCGCCTGTGTACGGGCGAGAGCGCGATCACGTGGCAAAAGATAGACGTACGACTTGTCCAACGAGCACGTAGCTTCCGCCGCAGTGCCAGCTTTGGGGTGCACGGAGCCTAGGACCCCGCGTTTTGCGCCGGCTGCTAATCGCGACACGAGCGTGCCTGATTGGGTTCGTTTCAGCCAGAACGCAGCAGCAGAAGCCGAGGGAAAAAAAGAAAACAAAAGAGGAAATAGAAAAACTTGGTTTTGGTGCTGCGCGCGCGTGTGTGCCGTCAACGTCATCTTTTGCCGCTCAAAGTGGCCGTCCACAGTGGGGTGGAAGGAGGGGAGAGTAACTCCTGTGGCGGGGACTGTGCTTGCCTAGGCTCCTCTGGTTCTCTATCCGTGTCTCTGTTCTTGTCTGGATGTCTGAGTGTTATTTTGTTCCAATAATTATTTGCTTCGTCGTTCTATTCCGTATCTTCTTTTTACATGTTTTTATATGTGACGTTTGGAATTTCTGGACATGAGTCACTGGCTTGTATCGAACGAGCTTTGGTCAGTGTCGCTGGAATGAAAACAAAAATTATACAAAAAAATAAATAAAAAAAGAAGTCGGGTCAGGAAGGAAGACAGGATTGGGTTTTCTCTTTAAACCAAAATGCACGAAGGAAAAGAGTATAACGTTGACGGAGGTCGCCACCAGAGAGTAGAATTCGCATTTCGGACAATTGTGTTTGAAACTTGAATATTACTTACTTTATGGCCTCGTTCTGCAGACAAGGAGTCAACAAAATAAAATCATCTTTATCACTACCCGAGCGATCGTCCCCGATATCGCTTTTATAAAAAGATGCTTATCTTGAGATCAGGCAATGACGGTCAATCCCTACGAGTGTCACTGTGAGCTAAGTTTCAGCTGTCTGTATGTAGTTTTTTGTACTACAAATTGCCTTTAAGCTAGCTCCTTACTTTTTTGATTTATACACGCATTTCAAGGTTACTTACAGAGCCTATATCCAGTCGAAGTCAAACTTTTCCTATAAATTTTCATACAGGGAGAAGCTACGAAGCCCGTAAAATACGGCGTTTTTCTGTATAGATGAGGTTTGCCAATACAGTTTGTTTTTCTGTGTTCTTCATCGTGAATTGCACGCTACAGTGGTTAGCTTTTTTGTTCTATGTAGGCTTTATGATCCTTTTTTCCTTGACCTTTTCCCTTAGCCTACACACTGCCGAGCTCGTATACACAAACCACGAAATAAAGTCGCCTGTTTGGGGTCTCGCTAAAACTACACCTCTTGAGGTTAGGTAATCCGTAGTCGAGTCTGTGCAATCTGAATCACAAGAAATGTGCTGATATCAGGTTCTCTATATTATGAAGTTGAAGATGTCAAGTGAGGTTCTGTCGCTGGACCGACCAATTAATTTTTGACACCTTCAAAATCGCATGTTTAATGAAACGCACGAATAAAACGAAGCTGTACCGAATCAAATTTATTTATTTATTTATTTATTCATATTACCCCTAAAGGCCCTAGTGAGAGTGTATTACATAGGGGGGGTACATAAATCGTTCCCATAGGAACTAGTGCACAGTGAACAACATATGAGAATACTACAGTGATGTGATTGGCCTAAGCCGTTTTGGAGCACCTTTTGGAGCAGCCAAAACAGTGTTTTGGAGCAGCAAAAGTGGCCTTTGGAGCAGCCAAAACAGTGTTTTGGAGCAGCAAAAGTGGCTTTTGGAGCAGCCAAAACAGTGTTTCGGAGCAGCAAAAAGTGGTTTTTGGAGCAGATTTTTTTATAAAAACAAAATATTTGTTTTAAGTACTGGACAAAGGAAGGGCACTTTGCTCGACACAATAACCAAATAATGGTCAAGTTAGACGACCTGGGAGTCTTTCAAGTTGTTAACTGAAATGCCAATGACACAACATATTTTGCAATGCTTCAGTTAAGTGACATATATATATGTACCCGCTATAGATAAATAAGAACCAAATTGCACATATTAAATTTATTTGAAAATGACCAGCTTAG